ACTCTAGGCTGTGGAGAGAACAGTACAGCTGGGAGTCACCAGGGGGGATCGGGTTGACACTCTAGGCTGTGGAGAGAACAGTACAGCTGGGAGTCACCAGGGGGATCTGGTTGACACTCTAGGCTGGGGAGAGAACAGTACAGCTGGGAGTCACCAGGGGGGATCGGGTTGACACTCTAGGCTGGGGAGAGAACAGTACAGCTGGGAGTCACCAGGGGGGATCGGGTTGACACTCTAGGCTGGGGAGAGAACAGTACAGCTGGGAGTCACCAGGGGGGATCGGGTTGACACTCTAGGCTGGGGAGAGAACAGTACAGCTGGGAGTCACCAGGGGGGATCTGACTGACACTCTAGGCTGGGGAGAGAACAGTACAGCTGGGAGTCACCACAGGGTCTGGTTGACACTCTAGGCTGGGGAGAGAACAGTACAGCTGGGATTCACCAGGGGGGATCTGGTTGACACTCTAGGCTGTGGAGAGAACAGTACAGCTGGGAGTCACCACAGGGTCTGGTTGACACTCTAGGCTGGGGAGAGAACAGTACAGCTGGGAGTCACCAGGGGGGATCTGGTTGACACTCTAGGCTGGGGAGAGAACAGTACAGCTGGGAGTCACCAGGGGGGATCTGGTTGACACTCTAGGCTGGGGAGAGAACAGTACAGCTGGGAGTCACCAGGGGGGATCTGGTTGACACTCTAGGCTGGGGAGAGAACAGTACAGCTGGGAGTCACCAGGAGGTCTGACTGACACTCTAGGCTGGGGAGAGAACAGTACAGCTGGGAGTCACCAGGAGGTCTGACTGACACTCTAGGCTGGGGAGAGAACAGTACAGCTGGGAGTCACCAGGAGGTCTGACTGACACTCTAGGCTGAGAGATGAAAAGCAAGAGGGACATAAAATCAACTGCTACTGACAACAGTGGAATTTGAACTCTTCGCTGACTGCTGAAGATGAGGATGAAGTGCTTATGGAAATGTCCTGAGTGCCGTGATGTCAGTTCTTAGCTCAACACTCAACAAATGATCCCACATGTTTTGCTAGTCATGCACAAAGCATGAACTCTGTAGCTCCGGCAATGACCCTAAAACAGTAGTTCTCAACCTGTCGAGTGCAACCCATTTTGGGGTCAAATGACCCTTTCACAGGGGTCGCCTTAAACAATCAGAATTTTTTTTTTTTTTACTGAAGTCATGAAGTAGCACCGAAGATAGTTGTATGTTTGGGGTCACCACAACATGAGAAACTCTAGTGAAGGGTTGCAGTGTTAGGAATTTTGAGAAGCACGTAAAGAATCACTGAAAGACCCCAAACTGAGCCAACATCCCTCAGAACCTGAGGCAAACCACTTAGCCAACTTGCTACAGAGACCTTCATATGGCTATAGACAATAGTTCTAATCAAACATAATATTAATACTGGTATTAACAAATACAACAACTTACAGAAGTCAGCTTCAGACCTCAGAAATGAGATATCCGAGAAAGATGGTTCAAAAGACAAGAAAGTTTGCAGCTAGACAATTTGTCAAGATCTTGAAACACAGGCCTTTCAAGCTCGATTTGAACATGTAGCAGAATGGGAGAAAACCAGCCACCGTGGGAGGCTAAGAACCAAGAAACCAGACCGCCAGGGTTCGGTGGGAAGACAACATCCGACAGTCTCTAATGGACAGAGGACTGGAATGGCATAAAGTCAGAAAGAAAACTGCTGTTAGAGAAGTCTGGTGATCTCTTTGGCAAACCTATACACCCCATGGTAGAAAAAGAGCGACTAAGTAAGTAAGTAGAATATTAACATATACATAATCAACACTGATGTTTTTGAGAAATCTGCTAAATGCATTTTATTCTTTTTTTTTAAGCAAAAAAAAAAAACGTGCAATAAAATCATTATAAAGAAAGTTTATCAACAGTATGCATTCTCTATTGTTTCATGGGGTACAAGTAACAAGTAAAGTTAGGGACCATTTGTCACACCTTCAAGTGTATTTGGCATATAGGGCTAGTCCAGTATTTTATAGACCAATCGACATTTGGTGGGTGATGTGGTCAGCATCATGCCGGCTACCTTTACTTCCCAGAGCTGTACCTGGTACCCACTCAAAGCTGGGTCGACATGGGAGCCAAGATAATTCTTTTTAAAGTCCAGCTTTGTCAGGACCCAAAGCCATGACCTTCCAATACACTGTCATGAGTTATGATAAAGATTAAAAGATGCAACACAAATATTACACTTGCAAGATGTCTCTTGTGTATGTTTTCATGTGACCTTTTAAAAGGTGGTAAAATCAAGTAGAAGTTGTTTGTAAGGTTTCAGCTCGTGTGTGACTTGAAATGTGATGTTTGAGACTGCCAGCAACAATAAAACATAGATAAAATCATCACAATTGCAAATATTCTCTGCTGTATGTATTCTCATACTTAATGTGGACATGATAAGACCAAGATGATCCCATCACATTTGTGCGTTTTTTCCTTCCCCTTTGTTGAGCTTTCTAGTTACATTTAACAACCCAATACTTGTATCATTCATGGCCCATTTGCACACATATTGATATTACAGCAGAGGCCAGCCTCAACATCATCTGCCCCTCTGTAATTCACCATAGAGAATGTCTTTAGGAAATCTACCAACCTCAACGTATGACCCAACCCTTAAGAGACTGAGCATTAAGGAAACTGTTGTGATACCTGCTCTGTCCAACACCTCAGCATTTGTGATCTTGTCTTGTCACTTAATGCCGATTATTCTACCACTGACCAGAATTTGTGCAAGGAAAGGAGGAACTTCAACTCTAGGTAACAGCAACAGTAAAACATGCACCACAATCATCATCACACTTTGTGAAGTTTTTCTTCAATGATTCTCAAAAAAGACTTCATATGACTAGATTATAACATTTCATATGGCCAGATCACTAAATTTCCTTTGGCCAGATTGCAACATTTCATATGGGCAGATTGCAACACCTCAATTTTGTAAGATTTTTATCTGGAGTGAGTTCTCTTGTGAGACTTAAGATGGGTAGACTGAGAAAAAGATAAACCACAATCATTGCACTTGTAAGGTTTCTCTCCAGTGTGAGTTCTCATATGAGACTTTGCATGGCTAGACTGAGAAAATGATGAACCACAATAATTACACTTGTAAGGTTTCTCTCCAGTGTGAGTTCTCCTGTGAGACTTTGCATGGCAAGATTGAGAAAAAGATAAACCACAATCATTGCACTTGTAAGGTTTCTCTCCAGTGTGAGAACTCATGTGAGACTTTATATGGCTAGACTGTGAAAAAGATAAACCACAATCATTGCACTTGTAAGGTTTTTCTCCATTGTGCGTTCTCATATGAGATGTTAGGTAGACAGACTGAGTAAAAGCTGTGCTACAAACAGCACATTTGTAAGGTTTCTCTCCTGTGTGAGTTCTCATGTGGCTTTTCAGACTGCCGGCTTCCGTAAAACATGCATCACAAACAATACACTTGTAAGGTTTCTCTCCAGTGTGAATTCTCACATGACTTTTCAGATTGCCAACAGCAATAAAACATTTGCCACAAATATCACACTTGTAAGGTCTCTCTCCTGTGTGAATCCTCATGTGAACTTTCAGAACACTAGATCCAATAAAACATTTACCACAAACATCACACTTGTAAGGTTTCTCCCCAGTGTGAATTCTCATGTGAGTTTTCATGGAGTCAGATCGATTAAAAGTTGTGTTACAGACATCACATTTGCAGGGTTTCTCTTTTGTATGAGTTCGCATGTGACGCTTCAGTCCGTAAGCAACAGTAAAACATGCATCACAAAGAACACACTTGTAAGGTTTCTCTCCTGTGTGAGTTTTCATATGACTCTTTTTCATCCCAGACTGACTAAAAGATTTTTCACAAAGCTCACACTTGTAAGGTTTCTCTCCTGTATGAGTTCTTATGTGTAATTTTAGTTGGCAGGATTGATTAAAAGATGAACTACAAAGATTACACTTGTAAGGTTTCTCTCCTGTGTGAGTTCTCATGTGACACTTCATATTGCCAGCTCGGGCAAAAGATACACCACAAACATTACACTTGTAAGGTTTCTCTCCAGTATGAGTACTTATGTGACATTCTAAAGAGCCAGCTCTAGCAAAACATACACCACAAATTTTACACTTGTAAGGTTTCTCTCCTGTATGAGTTCTCATATGAGACTTCATCATGCCTAACTGAGTAAAACATGCACCACAAACATCGCACCTGAAAGGTTTCTCCCCTGTGTGAGTTCTCATGTGACACTGCATTGTGCCCCACTGAGCAAAACATACACCACAAACTTTGCACTTGTAAGGCCTCTCTCCTGTATGAGTTCGCAAGTGACATCTCATTTGGTGATACTGACTAAACAATGCATCACAAAGATCACACTTGAAAGGTTTATTTCCTGTGTGAGTTCTCTTGTGTAATTTTAGATAGCTAATTCGAGTAAAAGATGCAGTGCACAGATCACAACTGAAAGGTTTTATTCCTGTATGGGTTATTTTGTGACATTTCAGAGAGCTAGCTCGAGAAAAAGATGCACCACAATCATCACATCTGAAAGGTTTCTCTCCTGTGTGAGTTTTCATGTGACACCTCATCTGACCAGATAGAGCAAAATTTGCACCACAAATATCACACTTGTAAGGTTTCTCTCCTGTATGAGTTCTCATATGTAATTTCAGATAGCATGCGCGACTTAAAAATACACCACAATCATCACATTTGAAAGGTTTCTCTCCTGTGTGAGTTCTTACGTGAAACCTCATATGGACAGAGTGAACAAACGATGCACCACAGTCATCACATTTGTAAGGTTTCACCCCAATGTGAGTTTTCATGTGGTTGTTCACACTGCCAGCTGCAGTAAAAGATGCACCACAGTCATCACACTTGTATATTTTACCTCTTGTGTCTGTTGTCTTACATCTGTTTAAATATCTGTTCACACCGAATGCCACATCACTGACATCAGATAAAAATAACTGAACATTGGTTTTAACCATCGAAGACACACTTTCGGACACATGACCATCACTGTCATGTTGTGATGCAGTGCAATAATTATCTTTCCTAATATATGATAATGTCTCATGCTTAGTTAGAGTTGTTCTAACTTCCAACATTCTTGTTCGAGTTTTATTATGTGCTGAAAATTCTTGACTTCTGCAACAACTTGTCACATCAGGCATTTAATTGAATATTTGATCTTTGCCCTCAAACAATACAGCTGATAGTCACAAGTTTCACGTCTATGTCATTATTATGCCACCATCTTTTCTTGGTCTAGTAAGGAGGGTTAAATCTCAAAACCAGGATGTGTTTCTGAAACATATATAATTTTAGATTAGCATGTTTATAGGAATATCGGGTAATGGATTATTTATGGTGAATCTTTTCACAGCAAATGTGTATGAACTACTTTGAGTAATAGTAATTCATCATCATCCTTGATGTGTCGTTAGACATCACATACGACTCACATCCTATTCCTCCACTCCGCTCTACTGCATGCAACGCTCTTGATTTCTGACATGAAGTTCAGAGCAGCATTTTTTGCTTCTCGTGATAATGTTCTTCCTAATGTTTCCCTTGACAACTTCTTTTTCTAAGACCATTTGTTTCCCATTTCAGTGCTTGTTTTGTAAATCTGTGCTCATTTCATCACAGTGTGCTCAATGTCATCTGAACATAAAATTGCCTAGAAATTTTAAGAAAAACCACACAACGGCCTAGACAGTTAAATACTGAGGCTAGTTTGTCAATCCTGTTTAAAGAAAAGGAAGTATTCAGAAAAGATCAAGTTTTCAGTTGGATAATCTGTTACAAATTATACAATTGTTTTATTTTTTTTTTAATTGAAGTAAATGAATTATAGTTTTTGTTATAAATTACTAGACCCCCCCCCCCCTTTCCCAATTAAATTTGTGGGACTGTCTACCTGAATTTTTTGTGAAAAGAAAAATGTTTCACTGTCATAGGTGGTTATGTGGTCATGCCATTTGCTGTACGCTCTGAGGGTCATGGGTTCATTTCACAGCTATGTCTTCCAGTGTACGAGTGCAGTTTTTAACAGAGACACCTGCGGATAGTCACCAGGGCTACAAAGTTTGTGCTCTGTTCGAAGCTCTCAGCAGGTGGATAGCTTTTATATGGACAGAGACCAAGCCATTTGAGATAAAACCTTGTGCAACTGAAGTCAATCTCGATTTTTTAATGGTGGGGGCTTAACAAACACAACATAACCCTTGCCCCATTAGGGTCATGGAGGGGTCTGGTCTGGTAGTCTTAGTTTCAGCTTCATAGCAAATGGGTCACCCCATCTTTGCTCCGCTCCTGTGCCAACGAAAACACACAGAATGTTTATCAGTCTCTTGAGGTGTACTAATGGAAGCACTAGCACATAAAACCTGCCATCTTTCTCTGTCTTCCGCTGGATGAAAAGTGTATGAAAACTTAGTCCTGTCCATTTCTTGATGGTGTCAATCTAGTTTCTTCTTTGCCCTCCTTTTCTTCGACTACCTCCTAATGTTCCTTGAAGAACAGTCTTTGAAATCGAATCATCATGTCTTACCACGTACCCAAACCAAGCTAGCTTGCGACGTTTCACCACTGTCAAGAGAGGCTCCTGATGTCCTACTAATTTGTATATTTTGTCTCTTACATATTTATTAGTTTTGTGTTTTAAATAACTAATTCGTAAAATGCATATGTAACATTTAAAATCGAAAGCCTGAATCCTCCATTCCATATCCACAGTCAAGTGAGAGCACTATCTCTCACACTAAAAAAAAAGGTTGTTGCATATCCTTTACAGGACGTTGCAGAACCAACCCTAGTAACAGCCCCTGGCTGTTGTGTGGTTTCTCTAGGCAAATTTACGTCCAGTAGTTTGCCATTGCTTCTGGACGGTCGGCTTTCTTGATACCACTGTCGAAACCAACGCAAGGCGCATTGCACGCAGCTGGGATCGATCCCGGCATTACGAAGCGAAGCGTTCGCATCGACTTAGCCACAGAGCCGACATCTCTCACACTATAAGTAGTATAAGATGATAAATAATACAAGTTGGGGGGGGGGGGGGAGAGATACGGTAATTCGTTTCAGAGAGAAAGTGAGGTAAATTAAAAAAACACACGGATATAAAATGTTGCAGTGAGATATTTACCATAATAAACTGGGAAATTAATAATCACATGTTTACTGTAAAACTAAACACACACAAAAACTGAAAGAAAATGTCTGATATTTAACCAGCAGCAACTTCCCCGGAAGCGTCACCAAATTAGCAACCCGGCTCCCAGGGCTGCCAATGGGATTTTTTTGAAAAACCCAGCTTTTTTTAACAAAAACCCAAGCAATACATAGACAAAGAACAAGATAACAAAATAAAAAACCCAGATTGTTAAAAATGTACAAAATTTATAGTTACGAAACGAAAGATTTACCACTTTTATATAAGGATATATTTTTAAAAAAACCCAGATTTCCCTAAGGCGTCAAATAAAAACCCTGATCAGGGGAAAAAACCCAAGCATTGGCAGCCCTGCCGGCTCCTGGCTGTGTATTCGGCTAAAGCTGCGTAAAAAGTTGCTAAAAATTGCTTTAAACCTGACCGGCTGACCATACATTACTTAACACATCTGACAGTCTGCATTAAAAAAAAAAGATCGGTAAAACTGGTGCACACACAGGTTCTTTGAGCAGGATTGCAGTTCAGAAATGGACGAACAACCAGAACTTTCCGCCAGAGTGTACAGCTGGTGAATGCGAAGAAGGAGAAGAAATACAAGGTTATGATACATAGGTTATGCTCAAAGACCCCCTGCCTACACCGCAAAAGTGGTATAATAAAGTCAGTAACTGGCAGTTAATGATACATTTAATATTAAATATAACACAACGTGTGATCAGAAAGCTAAACGAAGGGAATGGAAAAGACATACAAACACAACCGAACGTTTCGACTAAAGTCTTTATCCACGGAGTACTAAAGACAGCACAAACTGTGACTAAAAAACTCAACGGTCAAGACAACAGAGCTAACTACATTTAAAAAAAAAAAAAAATAAGCTCAGTTCCTTTTAACGTCTAACGTGTAGGTTTTTTTTCTTCTTGTATGAACAAATATACAAACTGCAAGCGAAACGACCATTACTATCAGTGTTGATCACTGCTGTAGTTTAGGCGGGCCTGGGCGGTCGTTGAGCCGGAAGATTTAGGGTCGCGTGGCTAGTACAGTCGCCATGAACTTTTTTTTTTCTATTCAAAGGTTTGAGAATTAGGCACAAAGGCCTAACATTCACTTTGTTCTGACATCAAACTATATCAGCTACACACCACACACACACACATATATATATATATATATATATATATATATATATATATATATATATATATATATATATATATATACAGGTAATCTTAAAACATAACTAACAACAGTAAATATTAATTATAAACACTAAAATGTCATGAATTATCCCTATATTGCTAAATGTATAATTATTAGTATAATAATTGTTTTAGTTTGTTTTCTATCAAGGAAATTTAACATCAAATACGAGAATCTCGGCCTTTTGGCTAAGATCAAAGTGTAGCTCTGCTGCAGTGGTCTGGCCAAGAGGACCGGGGTCGGTCACAGCCAAGACACGAGTCAAACCCAAATGCTATGAGACATCTCTAAAATAAAATAAAAAACTTATACCGGGCGGTTTCCTCGTTCAGTCTGGATTACCGACGTAATATCCTCTGGATAGTCAAGTGGCCAGGCTGGGCATTTTGGAGACCAACCCGGTTTTAAGATAGAGGGAGAGGAGAGAGAGAGAGAGAGAGAGAGAGAGAGAGAGAGAAGATGCATCACAATTATTGGAACTCTTTCGGAAGACCGGTCCCCGCCCGGTAGGCTATTCGGAAAAGTGACAATTCTCATACCTGTACTGTTGCTCTCCTATGTGTATTTTGTGTGTGTGTGTGTGTGTGTGTTGTGAAAGGCCTATTTGGCCATGTATGGATTCAGGGTGATAATACAAACCGACGGAAAAGTACTGACCTGGCCGCTGACCCGACGACACGTTCAGAAACAGACGACAAAGATGACCAGAAAGCATCAACCGGACGGCGACTTCCACGAGAGACTTGAGGACGGAGCGCCGAGCAACTGGTGCAATAAAAGCGGGATAGGCACCTCTCATGTATATATTTTCCAATGGTACTTTGAAAAGTTGATGCATAAAGAATGCAAAACAAACATTCTCTATAGTATGTGTTCTCATGGTATCACACGACTGCCAGTGTAGTCCCAAGTCAGTATCCTGTTATGGTGCTTAATTAGATAAGTACTTCTAATAAGGCTGAGGTAGGTATCTCTTATTCTTCTTCTTCTTCGCGTTCACCGGCTGTAAACTTTTGCGGAAGTTTCTGGTTGTTCCGTCCACTTCTAGATTCTAGTCCTGTTCCAGAAACTAAGTGTTGCGTGCACTGCTGATTTAGTTGCATGCAGACTGTTGGTTCCTTGTCTCTCAAACAGTTGTACTCAAACTTCGATGGAAGCTCCCAGTTAGTCCCACTCACTTACTTACACACACATATGCACCCACATCCATACACACGTACATAATACACACACTCTCACAAAAAAACACAGACACGCAATCACACACCCAGACACATAGTCAAACACAACAGCACAAACAGACACACTTCGTCTGCACTATTGAATTGAATGCTAAATTAAGAATCGACATCACAGCAACTCGGGACATCCCCATAAGTGCTCAGTCCCCATCTTCAGCAGCAAGCGAAGTGTTCCAATTCTGACGGTACCAGTAACCGTCTGATTGTATATCCATCGCATCCTTCACCTGAGTGTTAAACGTCTGCCAAATCCCCTCTAGACCCCTAGCAGCGCTATTCTCCTCAGACCGTAATGATTCAGCTGCGCCTCCGCACTGTTCACTCGCTCCCAAAGGGCCCTCATAATATCCAACTTGTCATACATCAGTTCACTACCAAGTGGTGCAGAACCAGCTACTCTATCCGCCTGCACTAGAGGGCTGTGTTGTGAACTCGCAGATATTTGATAGAAGTACCATTACTGTCTACTTCCTTAGTGAGTACAGTCTGATTTATTGAGTTGTTGTATGGATACACTAACCCTATGATATTAAGTGTTATTCTGTTGTGATTTGTGGCCACGACAGTGTGTGTGTATATACATATATATATATATATATATATTTATATATATATACTTCTCTTCATTGGCACTTCATTGCCAAAGAACTACTGACACGCCTTATGCAGTGTGCGCATCTGCTAAAACTAATTAACCGTCACCGTCTGAACCTGGGCTGTGACGGATAATTAAATAGACGGATAACATAAATCTATGAATACAAATATAGACTAACAGGACTTTTACTGAGGGCTTAAGACGAAAATGAAATGAGATCATCTAAAAGTGAATAATACATATTATATTTAGTTTTACAAAACAATGAATACAAACTTTAGTATAAGAGTACTAATGTAATATTATAAACCTGATTAGCTTTAAAATAATCTGTCATCTCATTTTGTGTCTTTGAGGCTCGAGCCTTCTGCACAGTGATGTTCCGTATATTACGCAGAGGTAGAAACTTTTTTGCATTTACATCCTCTTGGATTTCAAACCAGTCTTGTACTTTGATAACATCGTAAAAGTAATCAAAATCAAATCCTCAGCCGCTAAGTCGTGGCGACAGCACTAGCCATGCGACCATAAATCCTCAGCAGGCTCAAAGACCTGCCTGCCTACACTGCAAAAGTGGAATAACAAAAGCAGTAATTAGCGGTCAAAGTAATCCGTGGTAATTTAAACAAGATGTCTGTTAGTTGATTCTCACATATTTATTTTAGATGATGATGGATAACAAAAACTGACGGTTAAACAAGTGAAAGTTAATGGAAGTTTTACTGTACATGTATCTTCATTGAGAGTGCCGACGTGAACAAATGTCTATGTCATTAAATGTGTCTATGACAGTTGCAATGATGTTTGGGTCGCTTCTTGGATAAACTTGTTTGAGGAAGTTTAAATTATAGCTACTGAGATGAGTCTCGGTAAAACACTGTGAGCTGTTGATTTAATATAAAATGCTTGTCTATCCTCCCGAAGAGATGTGCTGTAAACTGTATATTCAGAAACAGTCGAGCACATCATTTCCAAAGAATTACTGGTGTGCCTTAATGCAAGAAAAAGTGTGCAGTAATGCACCTGCTAGATTATCTTTACTGCTGCTCCATCTACTATTAATTTACGATTTTAATGACAGAGTGTTGAATATGGCACCTCTGGCAGCTGCCTTATGCATCTGATGCAGGTGTTAGTTGTTGGGGGTTTTCCTTAGACTGCTGTCTGTGACTTATTCACATGACCAGCATTTTGCAGGTTTTCACTGGCACATGAACGGAGCAATTGTGGTGTGACTCAGCCTTGTCTAGGAAGGAAGCTCTGACATGTAGACAAATAGATCACTGATGTTCTGTAGTACGCTTTGTTCCAAATGTCCTGGTGTTCATCTTCTTCTAGAGTTAAATCGAGCTGAGAGACTGATTGCACCAACATTGAATGCCTGAAAATTTTTGATGAAAGTAGAAAATTATATACAACAATAAGAAGAAGATAAAGTTCTCTGGTCATGTAATGAGAAAAAAAGCACTGGAAAATATCGTGACGACTGGAAAGATCACTGGTAGAAGAGACAGAGGCAGACTGAAAGAAATGATGGTGGATGGCTTAGGACAGTGGCATGGATGAATATCATCAGTAGAATCGATCCAGAACACCAAAGACTGAGATCTGTGGCGACGCATGAATGCCTACGCCAGCTGGCAAAGCACTTGATGATGATGAAAGCGTGCACCACAGATATCACATTTGAAAGGTTTATTTCGTGTGAGTTCTCGAGTGACGTTTCAGACTTCTAGCAACTGGGTAACATGCAACACAAACATCACATTTGTAAAGTTTCTCGATAGTGTGGGTTATCATGTGGCATTTGAGAAAGCGAAAAATAGTAAAACATGCACCACAATCATCACATATGTAAATTTTCTCTCTTGTATGAGTTTTCATGTGATATTTTATCTGGCCAGAATAAGTGAAACATGCATCACAAAGATCACACTTGTAAGGTTTATATCCTGTGTGCTTTCGTGTATGTATTTTAAAATACCAAGATTCTCTAAAAGATGCACCACAAACAGCACACTTGTAAGGTTTTTCTCCAGTGTGGATTCTCATGTGCTTATTTAAGTGCTCACGTCTAATAAAAGTGTTGTTACAAACAAAACACTTGTAAGGTTTCTCTCCTGTGTGAGTTCTCATGTGACGTTTCATCTTGCCAGATCCACCAAAAGATGCACTACAAAAATCACACTTGTATGGTTTCTCTCCTGTGTGAGTTCTCATGTGTAATGTCAGATTTCTAGACTGGCTAAATGATGCAGTACAATCATGACATTTGAAAGGTTTATTTTGTGTATGCATTGACAGGTGAGTTTTGAGACTTCTAATGTCAGCAAAACATGCACCACAAAGGTCACACTTGTAAGGTTTCTTCCCTGTATGAGTTCTCATATGTATCTTCAGATACCCAGATTGACTAAAACATCTGCTACAGATAGTACACTTGTAAGGTTTCTCTCCTGTGTGAGTTCTCATGTGGCATTTTAGATGGCCAGCATTACCAAAACGTGCATTACAAAGATCACACCTGTAACGTTTGTCTTCTACATGAGATCTCACATGTATTTTTAGATTACTAAATATAATGAAACATGCACCACAATCATTACATTTGTAAGGTTTCTCTCCTGCATGAGTTCTCATATGTATCTTCAGATACCCAGACTTAATAAAAGATGCACCACAAACAACACACTTGTAAGGTTTCTCCCCTGTGTGAGTTCTCATATGTATCTTCAGATAACTAGGCTTAATAAAAGATGCACCACAAACAACACATGTGTAAGGTTTCTCTCCTGTGTGGGTTCTCATATGCACTTTTAGAGACGGAGCTCTAGTAATAAATGCACCACAATCATCACACTTGTATGATTTACCAGAGGTATTTTTTGTCTTGCATCTATTTAAATATCTATTCAGATTGACTATCACATCACAAGCATTAGACAAAGATGGTGTGTCTCCTGCTTGCATTCTCTTGGAACCACAACTGGTATAACCAACACTATCGTCATCAAGGGATATGCCAGAATCTTGTATATGCTCTACTGGAATCTTCATATGATGTAACTGATTATTATTTTTAACCAAACAAAAATCAGCATTGATGTCAACATTAGAAGACACACTCTCTGACATATGACTACCATTGTCATGTTGTGGTACCGTGTAATCATTCTCTTTCTTAATTACTGATACTGTCTGGTGCAGAGTAAGAGTTGTTCCATCTTTAGATGTTCTTGATTTAGTAATATTTTCTCTGGAAATTTCTTGACTGCTGCAAGAACTTGTCATGTCCATAATTTTATTGAATTTGTCATCCTTGTCTTCAGACAGTGCATCCGATAGTTCTTGTTTCACAAGCTTCCAGTCAATGTACGCCATCCTTTTCTCTTTTTGTGACTGCTTATGTAAAGAGGGATAACTCTAACAGGCGGACAGACTGGCTGGCTCTGCACAACTTGGTGTAATACTGATACATGATAAGGCAGACGTGGTTAGTGCCTTCGGGAGAGTGTGTACAGTTTGGAGGAGCAGATGGATCACCACAGTCTGGTGAGATTGAAGCAGTGGGGAGTGAAGAGAGGTTCTGGCAGATGCTCGAGGCTCAGAGGAAAGGCAAGACGGACGTTTCATCAGAATGCTTCTAGCACCATTTGTATCGGAACTCTTCGCCGGCTGCTGAAGATGGGGATGGAGCGCTTATGGGAATGCCCCGAGTGCTGTGATGTCGGTTCTTAAATCTTGAAGCTAGAGAGAAAACTCTCAGAACCAGGAATGTTTTTCTGAAATACATATATCATTTCAGGTTTAGAATCTACTAAAAGTAATGCTAACTACACAGAAAAAGAACCCTCCGGAATGCAACAATAATGTAAATGGAATAAGCCCCTTGGGTTCTCTAGTCACAATAATTGTTGTATTTAGTAAGTAGAATAAGAGTAAAGAACACTTCTAAACGCAATCAGGCGTATTGGGCATCT